AGTAAATTGAAAATCGTCAGGTGTGCATTACGAGTTGTTGCGCAAACTCGCAATTTTTTGTCGCTTCTCCAATCCGGTAGAAATAATGGATGGAAATATTTTAGGTATTTATAGTCACACGTCGCTGCATTTCGCGTCGTCCATTCGCTCCTTCATAGCGACGACCGTAATTCGCCCGGTTGATCGTCGCGCGATATCGATCCTTTCCGAAATTTGCGACGTCCGCGGCGGCAGGTATATTACCGTACTCGTAACTGGAGTCATCAGCCGGAGCATCGTAATAATAGAATAAAGGTTTCCGAAACGACGAGCGGCGAAACGGGACGAAACGCGCGTGTATTACGGAATCGAAATTGTTTCTCAAGATGACAGCACGGTTGTAAAAATAATTTAAATGCGTTTTATAACATTAATTCAATCTTTCTTAAATCTTACAAAACGTTCACGGAATAATTAATAAAATGTATTTTATATTGTACAAAAAATTGTGGAATGATTCTTAAATCTTTCATCTTTCTAAAGACTATTTCTATTTTTTTCATCCAATACGGTTTTTTTCATGAAATATTAAAGTTTCTATACCTGCAATACCTTCAAGACTATGACGATTACGGCGAATGCATATTCGGAAATTCATTCTGATGGATTTGTGCCAAGCGTCAAAATAAAATATATTGATGCGTAAGTACTTACGATGCGTGTGATCTAATCTCGCGCGGTAAAACCGTCTCGAGTGTCCCGACTTACCTCAAGGTGTATGATTAACTTCGAAGCTTGGCACGGAATCGTCAAAACAAATTTCCACTATAACTTTGGTCTAAACTGATCTTTACGTCTACGTTAGCCGATAAATTGTCCTCGAATATGCCGATTGTAAAACGAGAAACATATAATTAAGAATTAAAACACCTAATTATTCTCAATGGCGTTGCAACGATTAAAGCAATCTTTAAAGTTTTAGATAAGAGGAGGACACCGGTGACTTAATCGTTTCATTCAGAGAAAATTGTAGCGATTATACCGTTTCTACAGTTTTTTCTTGCTACTTTCGCCACTCCGCTTTGCAATTCTAGCCAGGCCGGAGTATACGAGAGTATATACGTGCCCCAGGCGTCACGCACTTTCTCCCGGACGTTTTTCCGGTAGATGCAGAGTAGCGAAAGGGTTAATCCTCCCACGCGCACGCGGTCTCTGTGCATACGTCGCGGTAGGGTATATACCCTCGCGAAGCCGTGCAAGGGGATGCATGTGCGTGTGTTCATTTTGCACGCCGTGGCGCACGCTCCCCTCTCATGAGTCTCATGCCTATTCGGCTCCAATCCTTTCAACATCCTCTTTGTCTTTCTCATTGTCTCCGCGTGCTCGTGCGTTAATCGCAGATTAAGCGAGAAAGGGAGAGGAGAAGGTGGACGAGGAGAGACCATCGGCGAAAAGAAGACGGCGGAAAGGGGTGGGATCAGGGCCGGATTTCCCATTAGTAGCCGCCGTGGTATTGGCGTTAGTGGACAGCGTTTATCTTTTGTTAGCTCTAGAGAAGACCTTCCGAAAACAAACAAAATGTGAAGGCTAAAATGCGCGACGTTAAAAATAATAGCTATGTCGAGATATTATCAGAAATGTATTCCTGATTCGATTTTGTGTACGTTCAAGAGCTTGGCTATTTAACAATTTAATTCTCTATAACGACATGATTAAAAAATTACATACCCGCACATATCCTATGCTTTTGAAGTTTTAATGATTTGATGAATGATTTAATCATTGCTTTCCGTTTAATTATTAAAAAATCCGGTTATAGAGGGTTAGTCTTTGAAAATTGAAACGTTTCAAACTTCTCGAAAATATTCCCATCACTTTCCATCGACTTTCTATGTAATATATTCTGTAGTCCTATATTCTCTTGCTTATCGCGATCACCGAAATAAGCTTGTTAAAATCTTAGAAACCCTGGCTCACACTCGCTTGCTCGGGCAGGATGTGACGACCCTTTCTGAACTCGGTCTTTTTTTTGTCTGACGGGTCTCCGCTGCGTTCGGTACCTCCGTACGGACTCGCGCTCGGTGTCAGGTCGATAGTTTTCCACGCTCTCCGTCGTGGCAATTTTTGCCTGTGCTCTCTCTCGCCGTGCGGCACCCGTTCGCACCGGTAAGACTGGTTATATCCACGAAGAGTGGCCGCCTGATGAAAGGATCCTCTCGGTAGCTCTTTACGGCCGGGTTCAATCGATCGTTCCCTTAACGCGCGCCGAGCACCTCGGACGTGTCGTGCAGCAAAAATGCAACCATATTATTTCATATACGCAACACTTTATTTTACGCCATCGATCACGACTCGTTTTACGTCGTTATCAGTATTGCTATTTATTACTGGCGTGCACGATTATATCGCGAGTATTTCTCCGCTTAAGAAAATTGATTCAGTATCTGGAGTAAAAATTAGCATTTGCAGGAAATACTTCTGAGAAAGTGTATGTAGCTTTCAAGTGATTATAAATAACACCGGTTCCTTACAACATATTTATATTCTTGCAATTAGTAAGCGACATTAGAAGCGACATTAGAAGCGACATTAGAAGCGACATTAGTAAAACACAGCGAAATGTATTTCACACAACAACGTCAAGGAGGGAACCCCGCGGAGACTTCTGCAACGAAACTGCAGAAGGCTTGAGAAAGATCATCCTGATAAGGGGCACGAAATTAATATAATGAACTGTGCAACGATGTTAACTATTAATTATAATTTATTTTACATCGTCGCCGTTATTGCTGTTATCATTGACACGTCGCTTATCATTTCCTCTAAGAATTATTATTATATTAATTTAAAAAGATAGAACATGACTATAAAGCGTGTATGACTTCGCGAAAAAAGCGATTGAGCGCGGGCTGGCGTAGTCATACAACGGCCAACCGATATATCGACATCTTCGCAATATCTGTATTCGACGGTGTCATCGGTGCTTCCTGTCGAGGAAGCCACGAGTCCTCCGCGGTCGCAGGGTTGGTCGTGAGGCGGCGATGCGACAGCTGGTCCTGTATACAAGGGCGTGGCGCTACCTTTATCCGAAATAATCGGCGACGCGCATCGGCGAGCGAGCGGGAATAAAGCGACCGAAGAAGCGCGGCCGTCGCGCTAATTATCGCGAAAGTATCGAACCGCTAATTGCAGAACGCGCCCGCGCGCGCGCGCGCGCGCGAACAAGCGAGTGAGCGAGCGTGAGCGAGTCATTGACCTTCGCTTCTGGCGAAGAGTTTCGTTCGTTCGTTCGTTCGTGCGTTCCGGCCCGCATCCTTTATGTCTCCGCAGGTAGGTGCGCAAGTGGCCGCAGGAATGTGCTTTCGTTCGAGCGACGAGGCCCCGAGTGCTTCATTTTTCTTCACGTGGACGTCAAGTAGCGTCAACGACGCGTGATATTATCCTCGTCGTCGGTTTACGGCCACGGCTACGTTATCCGGATAAGAGACCGCTCGCGAATAGGAAACGAGAAACGCGCCATACATTCGCTCGCTTTAAAAAAAGAAAACACATGGCTCGCCTCTGTGCCGGCTAATTTTAAGAGAGATTACATACTCGATTCTTTTAGGTAAATCCCCAAAGGAGATTCGAAGGATTAAACGATAAGACTCGTGACGTAGCTTTTCCGCACATTTCTCTTATCTTCGCTGCACACTCCTTACAGCGTTTTTGCTCTATCTCTCCTTTTATTTTTTATTCTTATTATTCTATTCTCGAATGGCGTCGCGCACAAGTCGCGCGACTCTGCGACATGCTACAGTTCGCTCGACGGTTCGTGCTCCTTAGCTTAGGTAATATAGTGAAAAATAAGAAAGCACGCTACTTAGTGCACGCGCGTTTCATTTATTAGATTCGCGAAGAAGCCTTTGCAGGATAAAATTAAACCGCGACAAAATTGAATTTTGTGCTTTAGCCGGCTTCTGTAGCGTCCGGCGAAGCTGATTGCCCTGTCATTTCTCCATAAGTCACGTGCAGATCATGATACGTACATGCCTCTGCGTATAGCGCACGCTTGTAAAATTAAATTCAATATTAATTGCTGGATATTATTTTCAAAAGTTTTCGCTCCGTAACTCGTAGAGAGTAGAAATGTTCCGTATGTTTATCTCTTCATTATCGAATTTTACAAAGAGATTTGTACTATAATTGTATTATATTATTTCTATTCTCATATTCTCCTACATTTTAATTGCTATTTAGATTTGCAATGAAAGCAGTCTTAATTTGGCAATTAACTAACTCGACACGAAACGAGCCAATATCGTTTTGTATCCTGAAGATAAAATTATCTTCGTAATTCGACGTATAACATTATTTTTCTTTATATCCTCGAGGAAAAATGATCGGATTGTTCTGGCCTTTATTGTTCACATCGATATAGTTTATGGGTATTGGTCAAATAATACCCCAACTGTGCTCTTCATTTGCCGAAAATTTACTCTCGATCAGCACTTAAATTACAGATTTACCCGACGGTATCGCGATTGTTGCAGCTTTATTGCTATCCGATGCGCGCTTTGAAACAACGCAAATTATCGGATTAATTGCTATATACGCGATTGCGTTAAATGGAACATCCCCCGACAAGTTTGCGCGAGAATTTCATAGCCGGCGACCATAATTCCCGCAGTGACCGCGCGTACCGCAGCCGATCTCGACAATCTAATTTTCTCACGTTGACTGCAATCAGTAGCAGCATGGAGCTATCGCGCGGCATTTAATTATCGCGCAATCATATTGTCATCGGGGGCGTAATATCTGTGAAACATCACGTAACTCGGTGCAATAGTACTAACGGGCCATTGTACGCGAATTGAATCAGTTACTTTATAGAAGGGAAAATTGCACGTCCGGAGGCCCTACTATAATAACTTGCCATCGCTCATCCTCGGAATTCTCCCTTATAATTTATCCCTGTGCCCTTTCCTCCCGCGGCTATCATTTCATTTATAATGCTTATCGACCTTCCTTTCTCTTTACAGGGAAGAACCTGTACAATAATGAGCACGTAGCAATTAAAATGGTAAGTAAGAAAACCGGGCGTTTTGTGTAACCGCGCGATACGTGAAAAACTCGACGAACCTCTGCTGAGCCCTCCTGCTCGCTTGTCGTTGCAGGAACCAATGAAGTCAAAGGCACCACAGCTACATTTAGAATATAGGTTTTACAAATTATTAGGTACACATGGTGAGTATCACTTTCACGCTATTACGTTCGAGATCTCGTGTAATAAGACATGAATTCATAAATACGGTAAAAAGAAATTAGAGAGTGTGAATTGAATTATCTAAGTATTGAATTATTAAAAAAAAATAGAATGAAAAGGAAAGAGCTAAAGTATATTTGCAGTAAAGTATAATACAGACACGTCTATAAAAAGTGACGGAGAGAAGTAGAAGGTAGATTATTAATTCTACGACGCCTAAGATAAGTCGATAACTCTCAAATAAACGTTTTCGATATTTTAGAGTGCCGTTAATCTTTCGTCGATGACGCTGCGAGAAAATAGTCCCGCAGCCGTTCGAATCGGCTTTGCGTAATTTGACGCGATACGACACGCGAGATATATAATTCACTTCAATTTTAATACGACCTGAGTTGGCTAAATCCCATGTGAGACAATCGCGCATGTAATTTCCGCACGCTTGACTAAAGCTCGACACAAATTAGCGTCACGAATTGAGATTGTATCGGAAACGTACACCTCGTGCGTCATGCCCGGAGAAATAAAGGTACCGCGTTCTTTTTTTATATACAGGCTGTTCCGCGTTTTATCTTTTAATGGTTAATTCCTCGGCTAATTTCGAGTCGGTTTTTCTACGGACGGTTTTTTTGTCGCAACTTCATAATTTTTAATATTGCACGTAGCAAGTATTGAACATCTATTAGCCGTGCATTTGATAAACTCATCAGCGACGTTTCTCGTCAGTCTTGTATTATTTTTAATTATCATTACCTTTATAATTATTTCCATTGGAGGCAATATTTCTGAATTATTTATTTAAAAATCATTAATATCATGTAATACCGAAATCAGAATACCGCGTTCAGAATGATGCAACAATGTAAACTTCATTCCGTATATCTTTTTATTCTCTCTTGCTCCTGCGTGCGCGTATCCACGTCAAATGAGAAATTAATCAGAAAATTTTAAACATCCTCGCATATGTGCTTATTTTCGACGTTGTCAAGATCTTTCATCGTCGTAGAGTTACATCTGCCTGACCTACAATCGTCACACTATTCTTATTTCATTTTTACACGTTCCGTTGCGACGAAACTGATAATATCGCGCATACTGGGGGTAATCTGGGGTGTGATCTGCTTTTGTCGATCGGTATAGTTCATAACACACATATAGAGGGTATACCGGAGGTGTACTACTTCGGCCCGTGCGGGAAGTACAACGCTCTGGTGATGGAGCTCCTCGGTCCGAGCCTTGAGGACCTCTTCGACCTCTGCGGGAGAAGGTTTACCCTCAAGACCGTTCTCAACATTGCCACACAGCTCGTAAGTCGCATTACCGTAACACTTTCGGCCCGCAGAACTAACTCTGAAACACCGCACTTTGGGGGGTTGATCTCAAACAACAAACTTGGGTGTTTGAGGTCCGGCAAACCCCACAGACATCGATCGTCTTACATTCGCTTATTTCCTCGGGCTTTTCTCCTTTTACCACCTGAGGGATTTGTTTGAAAGTAAAAAATCATTTCAAAATTGTTACAACAGTAAATTGCACCGTGAGAACGAAAATCTATAATTTTGCTACGTATAGAATAAAATGCACAAATATCTCTTTTTTCCAGCTCCATAGGATAGAATACGTTCATAGTCGGCATTTGATATACCGCGACATCAAGCCGGAAAATTTTCTGATAGGACGATCCACTACCAAGCGGGAAAAAATCATTCACATAATCGATTTTGGACTAGCCAAAGAGTATATAGACCTGGAGACGAACAAGCACATACCGTATCGGGAGCACAAGAGTCTCACCGGCACGGCGCGTTACATGAGCATTAACACGCATCTTGGCAAAGGTAACGGACGTTTACTTTTGTTTCGTCGTGTGTGTGTGTGTGTGTGTGTGTGTGTGTGTATGTATGTGTGCGTGTGTGTGTGTTTGTGTGCGTGCGTCGCACTACATAACGAACCGCCACGTGCTAAGCCATCTGGCTCGAGAGAAAGCGCGGCGAGTGCTTTAATCTTCAGCAGGTATCATGAAATCTTTTAAACCTCAAGTAACGTAAATTAAAGTTATTTAAATTTTAATAAGCTTTTAAATGTGAAATTACACAGATACCTACGGCGTACCGAGGACTTGACAGAACTTACGATACCTGCTGAGGATGAAGCCGCCGCGAATATATCATTTTTATAACGCGCTTCCCAGAATTTTGTGTCTTCTAATATCGTCGGGAGCACGGAATAAACTTTTCCATTATGCAGATAATGCCAAAATCTATGTGAAGTATACAAGAGGTATGTTTTACCATAAACAGAGCAAAGCAGAAGGGACGACCTGGAGGCGTTGGGTCACATGTTCATGTACTTCCTGCGCGGCAGCCTGCCGTGGCAAGGGCTGAAGGCCGACACGCTGAAGGAGCGCTACCAAAAGATCGGCGACACGAAACGAGCGACGCCGATCGAGGTGCTCTGCGACGGCCATCCCGAGGAGATGGCCACGTATCTGCGCTACGTACGCAGGCTCGACTTCTTCGAGACGCCGGACTACGAGTACTTGAGGAAGCTCTTCCACGATCTGTATGAAAGACGTGGTTTCGTCAACGACGGCGAGTTCGATTGGACCGGCAAGACAATGGTGTGTGTCAAATGATCTTTTATTTATTTACGTTATGCAAAAAGCTTTTTTTATGTAAAAAAAACTTTTCAGCGGATTACTTTTTTCACGTTCGCGCATTACTTTTTATCCGGTAATCTGCAAAAGCAATGACGTCAGTGCGTGCATGTTAACTTGTTTGTTATATCGGGGAACGTTGGTGATAACAGTCGTCGCTTCAATAAGAGAAAACGAATCGACGACTGAATCGTGATCTCGCATTGATGTTATCTATATATTTTCCTGTCCAATAAAGTAAAAAACGGGGATTTTATCGCCCACGTCATTTATTTGTGAGCAATCTTATATAATTAGAAAATCTGTACGGAGCATTTTTCATCAAAATATTACTCTGATCTTTGAAATGTAAAAATGACGATAATAATATTTACGAGTGATGGTGCAAAGTCAATACCGTTTCCTCTTTTTTTTTCCGGTAAAAAAAGATTCTCTTTCTTCCAAATTATTTATAAATTCTTGATAGTAACTTTTTTGTCAGTCGTAATTTTCTAAATGAAATTGATTTGTCGGGAAAAGATTCTGACAGCTGGGTAAGTAAATCGCCCGCCTATATTCCAACAGACCCGACACAAAGAGCTATGCGGTACCGAAGAGCGGTTTCACATTTGATTTTTAACGTTTGCATGCTGCCTTCCCCCTCAATGCACTATCTCTAGCCATCCTTCGAGAACTTCGAGAACCTCAGAGCGCTGCGGATGGCGGCCCCCTCGCATATCGACAAAACTAAGTCCGACAAGGTTGGTGATGGCCTCTCGAGTAGCGACAATATCTTACGACAGATAATTGCGGCCGAGTAATTGAGCTTCGATATCTTTGCGCATTGCAATATAATCGCATATTCTTCATGTAGTAAAATATCGCTGCGTTGTCACACAATATTCTATCTAACTAATCGTTGCCACTTGTCACGGCCGACTGGCCTTTCGTATATAGGGATCTAATGTGATTGTGATGTCACAGGTCTTCGGTTAAGCGTAAATTAAAGTGCACAGTTCGTCAATAAGTCTGTTTGTCTGTCTATCTGTCTGTCCGCTTTCCAGCTCCAAGTATGTTATCCATATATCCTCGTGAAATACGTAGAAGCGTGCGATAACAGTGCTCATTACAGACTTTCGTCCACTATATATGTATATAAAGCAAACATTTTCTCTCTCGTTACAGTCCACGCCTGTCGGATCCCTTCAAACCGGCCAGGAGATCGTCGTATCACCAAATCGCGATCGGCATCCCGCCGCTTACAAGGTATTCCTTGTTTTCTTCCGTTTCTTCTTCTTTTTCTTTTCTTTTCTTTTCTTCTAAGCCAAAAAGCATGGACGTGTGTAGCCCATTTGTTATTCGAGTTAACCGCATGGATACACGCCTCAGTAGCGACAGAACCGAAAACAGAGTTTTAACAACGACCTTGATTCAGAATTCTTGTTTATCTCGGGATAGAGATACAGATCAAACGAACAAATTTTGCGAGGAGATACTGGCATGCGCTGGTATTAAGTACAGAAAACGAAAACACATCACGCAAACCTATTGTCGGTTTCTCTCAGCGCACGTAATCTCAACGCGAATATGATGGCGTATCAATTTGTAGGAGTACGATGATTTTGAGGAGGATGTGATCCTCATGATGGATGAGGTTCGCTTCGAGTTGCAAGGCCGATATGTAAGCCATCCTTAGGTTACGCTGAATCGACTTCTTCATGCATACTTTATCTTATCAGCTGGGAGATGACTATATAGTCGGAAAGATACCCGCGGTCACATTTTATAATGCGTATTATTAATGCGTAATGTTTTTCTCCTCGTGAAACAAGGTCGCGTGAGGTTTAACGATTGTGGAGCGTGAACTCCGCGAACTCACGTCTTTTAGATCAATAGTCGATTAACAGATTGATAGCGGCAATAAATTTCCTTTAGCGCAACGTTATTAGAGTGACTAAATATAGATGATGGACCGTGACGAAGTCGATACGTTCAATTCCAAAACCTGCGATAGCGATAAACTCATGCACGAAGAAGTAATTTTTCTATTGGTTGCTCAAGTAGCTCAGCAGCTTGTAACAAGCTAGAGCCAGGAAATACGTTGCATCTCTCCTCGTAGCTCGTCAGAGTGAAATATATAAAAATATTTGATGCGTAGATAATTATGTACATCTCATTTATCAGAGAGCGAACCGCATTTTCATCCCTTCCCGAATATAGTCATAGAGATTAATATCGGATTAAATTAATCTTATTAATGCGCGGATAATCTCGCGTTTTATCATCACTGATCGCCATGCTATATAATATACGTACCAAAAGATTTCTCTCTCGGATCTCTCCTCGACATCTTTTTTTTTTCCTACTGTTCTTCGCGTTTATTCGCGGAGCTGTTTAACGCGACGCAACTGCGAAATTGTCATGCTTGTTCCTTCAGGATGTGGCAGGTGGAGGGGTGGGAGGTGGGGGCGGTAAGGGGGTGGGAGCCACGTGGCCAGATACTGTGAAGCAATCAGGAGCCGGTGGTACATTGACACCTGCTGACAGGCACGGTTCTGTACAGGTGAGTTTACCTGCGCATCTTCCGTCCTTCCCCTCTCTTTCTCTCTCTCTCTCTCTCTCGTGTCATTCTCTCGACTTCCCCACAGAAGCTTCTCCCTTTTTTTCGACTTTCTTTGCATCTTCTCGTCTCTTATTTAACAGCTGATTCACTTACAACCGCGAAGGAAACGTCATTTTTAGACGCGACGTTGAAACTCACACGTTAAATCTCATTACACATTAAATACTTAATCTCATCTCATACACTCTTTTTCCTGTGAAACGTAATATTCCTAAAGATTATAAAGATACCACATGATATGGAAAGATCGATTAAGGGCAAAATTATTCATTATTTTTCCCCAACCATCATCTTTCTTGTCTCACACCTTCATAATATCAACGTATACGGGATGCCTCAATTTATCAGGAGTTAAATTGTTCGCTCTATTTCTAGACAAGGCACCACTGGATTATGGTCAGTTAGAAGTCTGTGCAATTTGATTTGTTGCGGCATGTTGTCTTTGTGTCGATTGTGATCGAGACTTACCTTCTTTCTTTAATTAGATATGAGATACTAATCCGGTATTAGTACAGATCACTTGTCTTCCTATGCACTTGCAATAACAAAAGCATCATCGTCACGTACAAACCGTATGACTTTTGAGGAAGATCAGATCTTTATTACTTACGCTTCTTTTATTCCTTTAGTATATTGCTTTATTGAATCTATGTTACCAACAGTAGTCTTGTCTTACGTTAAATTCTCATCTCCGCTCCCCCCCCTTTGTAAGATCTCACTTGGTTCTTTGTGTAACTTGCAAGTAGACTTTGGATAAATCAATTTTCGATGTGTACGTTACTTTATCATCAAATCCAAGTAGAGTGGAAAAAGGATTCTTTCCTGATTTTCACATCCAATATAGTATTTGAGACATAAAATCTTTATAGTTACGTAAAAATCCCTTAATGTGATATTGACCTGTATATTTGTTTTCGTTTTCTTTGCCATAACGTTGTACGATGTGTACAGGTGGTATCGTCAACTAATGGAGAACTGGCTAACGATGATCCGACCGCTGGTCACTCCAACACACCAATTACAGCACCTCAGGAAGTGGACATGATCGACGAAACCAAGTTAGTAGCAGTTTGTTTTATTGCAATTCGTATCTCTGTCTGTTCTCCTAAATATGGATAATCAAATGAATAAAACTGCAATTGTTTGATCAATTCCACGAATATTTTTGTCGCGTTCCGTTATTGCATTTATCTACGCGATATTCTGAAATTTTATTAGTACAATTTTAATTAATTAACTCGAGAGAAAGCCTTAGTCTAAACTTCGACTGTTAAAGTAAGTGTTGAAGTCAGAATAAAAACAATAGCAGTTTATATCTTTAACATCAAAAGATATTAAAGATATAAAATATTGAATTAAATTAGATAATAAGATGCTCGATCTAAGCTATGCATGTATGTGTGTCTGTTATTTTCAGAATAGTAATTCGAAAACCGAAACATTGTCCCCGATGTGGAAAATTGTTGTTCCATTCTTTACAAACATACATTTCCAGCACCTATCCTACCGTCATTCCCGAAATAGGTTTGTTACACCAATTGAAATGGTCAGTTCAAGATTTTCTATTTCGCAATATAAGAAGAAAATATAATATTTGTTAAATATTATTGAAGATCGATTATTGTCGTAGAAATTTTATTACTAGACTGATGATGATGAGAAAATCAGTGTCGTGAACAAAATATAAAATTACAATAAGATGAATATATAATTGTGAGATACGATGCTTCTACCTTGTAGAATATTTTATAAAAATATTACAGCTATGTAGTTCAAGTTTCGCTATTTGTTCTCGCAATCATGTCTGCAATTTATGTAAGATGTAGGGGCAAGATTTGACTTGATAATGTAGAGATAATCATTCTCACAAAACGAAATGAATGTTTCTTTTGTTTATATTATCTAATACGGAGACTTGACTGTTACATCGTTAATATACTATGTCAAACAATACTATATGAAATAAATCATCGGAGAGAAAAAATTTTTATTTATATGTAATTTAGACAATTTTCTTTAAGCCCCGTCTTCTCAGTTATATTGTATTGTACAAATTGAAACAATGTATTTTTCTATATTTGGCACAACTGTAATTAAATGTCTGATTATTATTTTTGTTTATCCCGTATTCTCTACTCTTTCCTGACGTTCCTATTCCTTATCATTCCTCTACGAGTTTTGATGAAATCGAATTAACAACTGCATGATTAATTAACATAACAAATAACTGTGTACATTTACATGCAATCGGATAAAGTATCTTGTTGGGAGATCGACAATTTCTTTCTCTCTCGTATTGCGCGATCGTATGCCGAATGCAACTATTGTCTCATCTCTGCTGCATGCTCGATGTGTTGATCGACGAAAGACGCTGCCAAGGGGACGACTCTAAGTCCTATTAGTGTTTGCTTCATTTCCAGATGCTGTTGCTTCTTCAAGCGCAAGAAGAAGAAAAGTGGAAGGCAGAAATGACTGTCCGTTACCGTTGGTCTCGGGGGGGCGGTGCAGTGCGCGGGTAATAGTGCCGACGAGACCGTGGGAGCCGTCGCCACAACGTCAAGGACTGGCAAGCGCGGCGCGGGAACGGGAGCACGTGCGGGCGCAGGTACGACCGACGGTGTCGCAGGCGGCGATGCCGAGAGAGAAGCCGTCACCCTGCTACGCATCGGTAGCCGATCCGCGTCACGGGACTCGGTGCTGCACACCACTGTCACGATGACGCCGACGCCGACGCCGACGCCACCGCCGCTGTCGAACTGAATCCATCATCATCACCTTTATCACCACCACCATCGTCACTACCATCACACAACCATTCTACTACCGTCGCCGCTATTATCATTAATTGGACGGTTGCGCGACTGAGTCGAGATCGAGAGAATGAAGCTGCTTTTCCTCTGGCCAATCGAGCTTGATCTCTTCGATAAATAGGCGGACTCGCTGACGACGATTTAGGCACTTGCTTCTCGGTGTAGTGAAACTCTGTAGTAATCTCAGTACCGTTGCGATTAGAATTGTCTTGATTATGTGTTACGATGAAAGCGCACAATTATCGGCTTTACTTAAAACTTTGTATTCAAAGAACTCAAGATATATTGATGCCAGACTTTCATTGAGCTTTGTCAGGAGCTGCCAGTTCTTTTTCGTCAACTCATTTCTTTTAGTGGAACACATTTGGACAGATGGAAAATGGCTAATAAACGATATATATTCTGTGACTAATATAAAGTCTTTCTCGGAGAAAATTTAATTGATAGTTCTAGTCAAGACTGACTTCTTACGTCTTTGTGACTGATAAATTCAATGATAATTAAATTCCCACGTAAACTTTCACTAAGGTCAGTCGATACAGCTCTAGCCATCTGGTATCCATCATTTTAGATTTTGCGCCTCACATGCATCTTGTAGTTTCATTTAATTCATACCCTTCCCTCATTCTCATGGACAAGCTGATGAATATTCCTTGTGGCCTTGAGCTACTGATAGAGTCAAGACGTTAGCGAATCCACTTACCTACTTACTGAATAAATCCTCTCGTTTAGCCAAGAAAAGTGACCTCGTGCTATTAGATTATTGCTACTATTGTCATGATTACATTTCATCTTGTTGCTCTGCCCACTACCCAATACTATTACTACTTACTACTGCTACCATTACTACTACCATTACTACTAGGTACTACGATTACTATTATTGTAATGATTATTCTTAATTATTTTATTTTATTTCATTATTATTATTGATATTATTATTATGTTGATCATCTTTATCGTCATCGTCATTATCATCGTCGTTGGTCCATTGTCATTATCATTGTCATTCCCATCGTCCACACCCGCGTTTATCAATTACGTTGTTATCGTTGTCATCAATATATTGACACGTCGCTGTTGACTGTGAACGGTCGTCGGCCGTGACGGCGGCCGTGACGTTTCAGTATCGGGGAAACCAACCGGATCACATCCGCATTAGAGTAAGAAGGAATTGACGTACCGATGGTGAGAGAACTTGTTTGTGCCTACGACTCTCTTCTTGTAACACGGGGACGCTTTTTAATACACCGCCGCGCCGTGTCGTGCGATCGCATGTATAACTGTGAATTATAACGAATTGAAGCTACCGCAGATCTCATTGTATTCACAGCCCTGCAGGATGAGCGAGCGTAGCGTGTTCCCGAACTTCTTGTAATCGAGATTTCGATTATCGCGAAGTCTGATTTATATAAATCCTCTTGAAAGGCATGAAACTGAAAGAAATGGGAAAACGACGATCGCGGGTGCCACCGGCCTTCGGGGACGGGATTGAGACGTCAGATATCTGTAAATAAAATGCTCTCATTTTGCCCTCTTCGCGTCCGCAGATTGATAAATCGTGTGCGTCACGAATCGCGAGAATATGTAGCGCTATGTATAAAGTGAAAGTTCGCGCTTTTATTCCCGATTTTATTAGGTATTTTTTTATTATTTCGATTTTCGTTTTAATCCACCGTCCAAGTAAATGATTCTAATGCATTGGAATATTTATATTAGGATACTTTTAGTACATACGAGCCTTCCGTACAGTAAACGACTTTTATATAACTTTAATTTCGAGTTATATATTATAAGGGGATGTGTGAAAGAGCAGCGTTTAGCATTAACGTTATGAATAAACGCTCTCGAGGATAATACTGAATCGTATCCGTACTAAAGTCTAAACCATCCCGGTGCGTTAATTGTCGAAATGATTTCTTTAATATGTGTACACTGCCTATTTTTTCTACACGGGGATCATGTATGCAAGATAGTTCTATCATCACCATACGGATCATAGTTAATATACATTAAGGAACGTTTCGCCGTGAGTTCCTCGAACAAAACGCGAAATGTCTCTTTGTGAATATCGCAATCACGGATTATCGTTCGCGTATTATTTATGATAATTTCCCATCCGTAATTATTTTTAATACGGTGACATAAATCGCGCAGAGAATTCGCGCAGTTTCCGCGCAACATTTTTCTATAGTAATATCATGGGTTTCGGTTTCGTGCCTTCCAAAGCGAAATTATCATGTGAGAAAGTGATCTATCGCGATGAACAGTTGAAACAATTACATTTTACATAACATATCGATGAAGTAAGGTTTTTTCTGTCTGTAGACTCTATAGCGTATATAATGAAAATTTAGTAACGCGTAAATGCGAGGAAATTATGTGACATAACCGAAATTATGTGACATTGCAGTCGAACTCGTGTTCCACCACCAGTGTGTATCGATTCAAAAAAGGAAAAGGGAAAAGAAAGAAAAAAAACCCGATAAAAGGAACAAATAAGGAAGCGTTTCTTTCGATATAAATTATCCTCTGCGAAGAGAATGCGATGTTCGCGGACAGCTCTTGTTTTTTAATCCATACGCGTTTTCGATTATTAAATTGACGAACAAGCGAGAGGAAGGAGTGAATCAACGGGATGCTTGCGCCTTGATTCTATTTCGATGTTCTTGATATGAAAACCTACGTCGTCGGAATAAATAATAAAAGCTGGAACCGAATGTACGTGATCTTCATGGAGACAGATCCGATCTAAATGCGAGACGGAAGAGATGAATCATCGAGTACGGTGTACATGCAATAACGTAAAGATCCACTGTAACGAACTCTCTCTGCTGCGAACACATTTAATCCACTATTTTTCATGATGCAACGAGGAGAGCCTTATGTCGCGAGGCGTTTCTAGGGATTTACACAAAGTGACACGTGCGATTTTCTACTGATGGTTCGCGACGAAACATTAAAGCGACCAAGAGACGAAAGAGACGAGAAATACGTACGAAAACTCGGAGAGCTTGGGAAGCAAGGATCTCACCAGCCGTATTGATTAGACAAGCAAGTAAGGATATTTGATTATGATTGCTTGTTGTTGATTATTTATTCGTAATTGCTCATTTAAAATCGACTTTGAATAAAACTCTTTCGCTTAATTTGATTATGATTGCTTATTATTGATTATTTATTCATAATTGCTCGTTTAAAATCGACTTTGAGTGAAACTCTATCGCTTTAATTCAACTATAAACGAAAATTTCATAGTAAGATTGCAACATTTCTTAGGCATATTAAAATCAGTATTAAAAAATTCAGAGAAGATTTGCAAACTTACTACTCTTACATATTAAGAAGAAATCAGAGATTTCTTTTTCTTAAAAGTACAAGTGTTTTTTTAAGTAATACAAATTCACATATAAATTTCTAAGAAACGTCAGCAAACCCATTTCTCTTGTTTTCAATGTTTTTCCCAGAAAGAATTTCCCGTTAGACTCGTGTTACTTGTTTGCCCAAAGGTATAGTTAAACTCAAGTTTGTTTCTTTTTGCAGGAACACGGTAAACGGCAGGTCGAGCGAGGGAGTAGGGGCGCGGAGGTGGCGAATGTGAGGAAACTTGTGTTACGTCGAAACGTCCACACCCACACGTTAAGTCTTGGCCGGTGACTTCGTCACTCCCCGAGACGTATATGCGCATACGTACCGTACTATGTAATACGCCCGTACACCACGTTGTATCCACGTTGAATATCTTAAATACCCAACAAGCGCATGCGACAACAGGCAACCCATGTACTTACGGAGCTATCGCGTACTCGAACCATAGTGTACACTCGACCGTACGTGCTCTCGTGCGATGAAAAGCGAAACGAGAGACGGAAGAGAGGGAGAGAACCAGTCCGTCGAACGTCTTGAAAAATGATACGCTTAAAAATCATAGAGCTTATAATTCCACTCTATGGATTTCATCTTTCTCTTTCTCTTTCCCTCTCTTCCTTTCTCTTTCTCTCATTATCTTCTGTATCTTCCCACTGTTGACCGAGTATCGTTCCTTTCTTTTGTAAGCTCGCCGCATCGCGTCGGCGAGCGACCGTCGAAACAGTCAATCGTTCTACGTTTATATCCAGCGGAAAGAGAGTGAGTGATCCGATGAATGTCTGACACTGGATGGTATCCGCGTAGAAAGAGAGCGAGTCGAGAGGAGACATTACTCCGGGACGCTTTCCTCCCGGCGAGGCTGGTTTGTAGCTTCGCGCAAGTCGTACTTGTACATAAGACGCTAGACCGCGATCGTCGCGTACGCGAATTATCCTCACGAGTAGAATTTGTTCGCGCGACAAATCCAATAGCGAGCGACGCATATAAATTGTAATTCCCGATGATCGCGGATGAGAAGAGCACGTGCGTGCTTGCCTGCGCGAGAGATCCACGTAGACGCGACACAGGGAGAAAGAGAGAGAAAGTCTCCGATATTTATATCACTGTCCTGCCACCGGGGAATCCGTGTTTGGCGTAATTATAATAAATCCCGCTGTGCAACCATGTTGCGCAAGGACGTTTAGCCCGTAGTTTTCTAGCCGATTTTTCAAAGCGCGCGCGCGCAAAGTCACGATTTTTAATATAACACGACTGACTGCTGGTTAAGTATGGTTGTGAGCAAGAGTCCTGGTCTCCTCGGACATTGTAGACACACACACACACACACACACACACAAAGTAACACCACACATTACATACCACACAGAACACACATCTTCCCAATTCCCTTAGATACGTACCTTGCACGGAGAGAAGAGCGATTGTTGCATACATGCTTAGGATGGGAATTAAGGCTTGTAATCCACAAAAAAAAAACGACCATCTCCTTCGCTCGAGACATTTCATTTTCTTCTTTTTTTTTTTTGTATATTTGTAAATTGGTACGAGTAGAGAGATCGGGCCAGGACCGATATATCCTCGGTGTCTTTCATTCCACGGCTCGTCGGTCGAAGAGCGGCGTATACAGCGATAAATGTGGTCGTGCGTATCTGTGAAAAAAAAAATGAGGCTGCGTAATTAATTATCTCGTTGCGTAAAGCGTAAGTTCGAGAGAAAGATTGAGGGATTGGATGATCGCGCGTTTCCCCTCGTGTGTTGTGATCGTTTAGTTGCATTGACACGTCGATTCGGCGATGTTTGGAGAGATGTCGATGGGAGAGACTCCTGAGATTAAGTTAATCAGCACTATAGTTTCTCGCGTAGTGAGGCTTATGTGTATACATTTTTTGACTTACTATATGTTCGTACTGTTTTAATGGACGAATTGTTGAACAATAAAATCGCTGATTGCTACGATAATAACAAATCGCTGTTTTTATGAAATTGGCAGCTCGCGTGCGTGGGTGTGCGCATCCATGTGTGCGTTCGATATCTTATTAGAACACGAGACGCAATTGGCATTACAATTTGAATGTGTCGTAAACTGGTGCTGTTTATTGCAGACACACGAGGAGAAAGGAAAATTAAGTGAGAAAGAAAGATGGAAAATTTTTTTTTAACATACGCGCAACGCTTGCGTTTACCTCGATCCGTCTACGTAACTACACCGTAAAAATGAAATTTTATTATATTATTATGCGCGATTCTGACATCCTTGTATCGTCATAAATTTTCTTTTATTAATTAACAAAACGTATCACTGACAACAGACATGATCTTTACGAGAAAGTTAACGAAACGAAAACGGAATGACGAACTTGTATTACATGTGGATTTGTTGAAGTATCAAGCACATATTTTACGAGATTGCATTACCCCGCGATTTTTCGTCGGACAGCGTAAAGTTAATCTGTATCCTGGACCTGGTCAACATTACGTTCTTTGACGGAATTCCAACGCCGTTCCCTTCAAGTGTGGATTCATTTTCTTTCCGCTCGCCTTCTGAACTGATCTATCCAAAACCGAGCAAACTTTGTGTATATAGCGATTGAATTGTTTTAGTACTATCATAGTGAGAATTATGTGTTTGCACGTGCTCATATATACGTATATGGGTGTGTGATTGCGGAAGTATTAAGGAGAGTGATCTACATTTAAAAAAAAAATGGACATTATATATACATATAACGAGACTGAGTGATATATTATATACATCGGACCATGAAAAAAGAAACCGATTGTCTTACACTTGCATTTTGTCGTCATGCAATGATTATTATTATTATTATTATATAATATAACGCGAATTATATAATTACACAATTATAATTATATATAATTACGCGCGAAAAAACGAAAGTCTCCCAACTGTACCGATTCTAACGAAACGGATATGTACATCTCTCTCCCCCTATAGCGAAGATTTTACTACATTATACGTAAGCTGTGATTACTATCATAATTTTTAACTTATATTACAATACCGATTATGCTTTGTTTAACGATTAACTTGTACGTGGCCGTCTGGCAAGGCGCTTTTAGAAGAACTTAAAAAAAAAAAAAAACAGAATGAGGAGACGGAAATAAGAAAGACATTGAGACTTGCGTGGAAGCTTATTCTTGTAAATATGTGTTGTGTCTATTACGCTTAGCGAGTAAGAAGAAAAAAAGTTCTTAATGAAAGTTCCTGCGTACTTCCTCCGAGATTTCTTTTATTTGTCTTTCTGGCCTAGTTTACACCGATCTCTTGATACGCGTATCAAATGGTATATTTGAGCTGATCAGCCAATAATCAAACTAATTTACTAGTTGTTTACTATGCGTATCAAGTGATCGGTGTAAACCGATCGGAGGGCTCTATCTCTCTTCGTTACTTTGTGACATTTTCACTATCGTTTCGATGTTCATCAATTCTCTATGATTCTCCAGCATTTTCAGCAGTATCGGCTCCTTCGCTAGCATGTAACCGGACACCGCTACGAAGTTTCTAATGAGTTTCTTCATTATATTTATCTTCCGTATTGTTCTTTCCATTTTATCTTTATTTCTGAAAAAAAAAAGGAAACGAAGATTTTAAGTATGCAAATGCTTCGTAAGATACTTTTTGATGTTTGCGGATCTTCACTCACTCCACAATCCCGGGATTCGTCTTCTGCAGTCTCTCGCTTCGCAGCTGCTCCTGCTCCTTGAGAAAATTCTTGTAGTTAAACAGCGTCTTTTGACATTCGACTTTCAGATCCAGCTGCACTCGAGACGCTTCCTCGATGGTCTTCTGAATGGTCAAAACACTGTCGTTGAGACTCAACAATTTACTCATGTAGGTATGGAGCTTCCTAGGAGCAAGCAAAATTGAAAATTTATTACGTCTTCTTACGTGGAACATTTTGACTCACATCTAGCCCTAATCTAGCTACAATTAACCTAGGAACAGCTGATTTTTGTTTATATGAATGATTGCACCTAAGTTGATTTTTACACCCCAATTAAAATTCTTTGTTATTAATTACATATATTTTTGATTGTTCTATAATTTATTAGTATTTAAGGACAATATATGTACATAAATTTGCTCAACCTTTTTCTGAAAAAAATAGGGAGAAACCAAAAGAGATATTTAAAAAACAAAAGAAACACATTAAAATTACTGTAAGGTAAGATTCACTTTGTGGATACTGGAGTGCAAAAATTACCCCCTGGCACTCGTTCCTAGGTTAATAGTAGGACCTTTCCAGCAAGCGACAAAAGTAGACACAAACGTCGTTTTATCTTTCTCTTTTTGGCAATGAGTAACAAAGACAAAACGACACTTGTGTGGACTTGTGTCGCTTGCTGGAAAGCTCCCAATATTTACAAGTTTATTCCTCACTCTTGATCCTCCGCATTGCCCTCCTTATTGCTGAGAATAGAGAGGACGGTAGTGCTGTGAAGGCACAACTTGATGGCCTTGGCATTGATGAGCGTGTCGCTCACGACACTCTGCAACGCGTCTCCGGCTTCATCCTCGTCTTCTTCGCGTCCATTGTCGATGTACTCTGTAAACGAACGAGACTTCAGAAAGAGATCTCCCAGTGGAGGAAACCGCTCCGGGCGGAGATCGCTCCGCGACCCGCAACGCCGACGAACGTACGTTTGTACTTCGCTCTAAGCATTAACGACCTGGCGTTCAGGCGCATCAGCGACTCCCTGGCAGCTCGGATCTTCTCCTCGATCGGCTTGAAATCGTCCAGCGAGGCCGCGCCGATCGGGAACCCGTCGACCACCGCGTTCAGCCGCTTCACGGACCGCTCCAGCTCGTCGAGCTCCATCGTTCGCGCGCGACGGAGATACCGTTCAAGTGCGTTTTTAGGTGCGCGACGCCCGGTTCTCGCCGCGATCGCATGCCGAGGCTATGCGACCACTTCCCTCGACGAATACATCGCGCGTCGTATGCATGCACGAGTCGAAAATGACACGAATTCACGCCAGCGATCGAGCAATCTCACGAACGCGGGACCACGCGGGGCTGTCAACTGTCACTGTTTACCATCCCGATTCCCGCGTTTTGAAATTCCAGCACAGGCATGCCTCCTCGGGATTCTCGGGAAATTGAAACTCACTAGGATCTAGGGATCTCGTCCTGAAAACTGCATGGACCAATCGGCGCCACAAGAAATCGACACCTCGCGCTTGTTCTTCGCTTCAATTGGTCGGAAATTCCCCTGTCCAATTTGTCATGTAATCAAAAGAGGAGGTTAGGTTTGTCGAGTTTCACGATGTCGGTCGTTGAAACAGATATCAAG